AAAAACAACTATTCTGACTGCCCCCCCCCCCCCATCTTTGGAATCTTATGTGGGGTAATTTTTAATTAAATACAGTTGGTATTACAGCTGAAGCACACTAGCAACAGGAAACAGGCTCATTTCTGTGAGGAAAGCCAAATAAGGAAGTGGACACAACCAGATGCAGGGGACAGATATAGCAACAGAGCATGGCAATAGCAAAGGACAGCACGAGCAGTAACAACATCTGGGCATGCAGAATGTAAGAAGCCTAGTCCAAAAGGCTTTTAACACAGCGGTGACACTGTGCATTGGAGTAAGGGGCTAGAGTAAGAATACACTGGAATTTAGGACAGTATGGGAAAAGAAAGTTCAGAGAAAAGAAAGTGCAAGCTCTGAGATAGGCCAGAAACTCTAGAGATCAGGTATAACTAATGGAGAAAGACAGTTCTGAAGTGTGAGTAGGCCCAAGTTTTCTATAATCAGAACCCTAATTTGCAGGCTAAAAAAAAAAAAAACCCAAACAAAAAAACCCCCACACCACATAAACAGGACACTGCATCCCATCAGCTGCTGGAAATATGACACCCCTACCATCATTCATAAAATTACTTTTGGAAGTGCACATGTAAGCACACCACTGAAATTTTAGATTCCACCATCCATTGCATTGTATTGGGACTATTTGTACAGTAATAACTGAAATCACAATCTCAATGGTTTAGCCTTCCCAACATCATCCTTCAGCATTCAGGCTACTGGTTAGCTGTCCTATCCAGTCCACTTTTTCTCCACTCCCCTGTATACAGTTTATACCTATCAGGTATCAACAAACTGTACAAGTAGTGGTGTAACAGTATGGTATGCATTTATGCAATATGGAGCTATATTCCACTTCATTTTTTCCTTTTGCATTAATTAGTTACTTAAGTTCTTCTATGTTTTACTTTATAAGGCTTACAAAAGAAACATCCTTATGAGTATGAAAAACAAAATAAGATTACTTTCTGGTATTTTTAAAGCTTATTCTTTACAAACATCACAGCTTACCTACAGCTGAGAACAATTGCTGTTTACATTGCACCACAATGCACTGCAGCATCTTAAGAACACTGATAAAAAAAAAATACCTCCTTTTCGGCCAATTCGACTATCCATAAATTTCTCTATAGTTTCAAATTCATCTTCTTCAGGCTGCGGGACATCTTCTCCACAAACTTCCAACAAGTCATCAGAATCCGTCTTGGTTTCTTCAGCTTCTTTGTAACTAACATTGACTGTTGCCTGGCGACGAGATCCTCTCTTATCATAGTCATCATCATCTGATGAATCAAGCTGCCTCTTTTTCTGTCCTGCAATCTTTTTGCCACTTTTTGGCTCAATTCTTGAAGACAATAAGATACAACATAACAGTGGGGTTTCAACATGGACAACTATAAGCCTTCTGTATTTGTTTCTGAATACATATATTTCATGACTGCTCAGTTATGCCACTTTCAGTTGGAGCAGACAGGAAAGAGGTATTCAACACAAACAACTGGTATGATAACATCTTTTGTAGCTTAAAAAAAAAGTCTTAAAGTTCTGTAATAAATATTAATGTTTTCATTTGCCTATATAGTAGTACAATACTTGATTACGAATTAGAAATAGTACCAGAGTATCTAAAAATGCAAGACTTCTTACCTGCTTGGAGGTTTCTGGCTTTTGACCTTGTTTTTTGGCTCATAGTCAGATTCACTATCTTCACAACTGCTTTTCTCTCTATCTTCCTCTGATTCAGAATCAGAACCAGTTCCTGATACTGACCCTGACCCAGACATTTGCCAGTCTTCACTGTACATATTGAGAGACAAAACAGTAACTCACATTAGGTTTTGGGGGGGTTTTGTTTGGTGGTAACTTATATGTTATTCACCTCTTCTGAACCACTGTCTGATGAGGCCACCTTCTGCTGTTGTTGTTTCTTGAGCACTGCTGATTTCTGCACAGCAAGTATACTTGGACTGGACTTCCAAAACTGAATTGGAATTCAGATACAAGAGTCATTTAAACCTATTGAAACTTTAATGTTTACCACATGCTTACTTCTCTTAAGATGAGCAGCATCACTATTAAGGTGGATCTCAATTTTATTAATAATAAAAAATTCACTATAAAATACCGCATGCATTAATAATAATGGATAGCATTTTAAAGTAGTGAGACTTCTGCAAAAAGGAATGTTATATGAGAATTGCTGGCACAATTTTTATGGTAACTATAACAATAGTTGTGCAGGCCTCTGTATTATCAAGATAACTTCTTTTTTTAAAAGTAAATTTTTAAACTGATCTAGATAGATAAGTCCCTTCAGGCCACTTAGCTGATATATTTTTGCTTCATATGGGAATACTTAAGTACACAGAATATCTCAAGTTGGAAGGGACCTATAAGGATCATCGAGTCCAACTCCCTGCTCCTCACAGGACTACCTAAAACTAAACCATATGGCTAAGAGAATCGTCCAGATGCTCCTTGAACTCTGACAGGCTTCGTGCCATGATCACTTCCCTGGGGAGCCTGTTCCAGTGACTGACCACCCTCTCAGTGAAGAACCTTTTCCTAACGTCCAATCTGAACTTCCCCTGACGCAGCTTCATTCCATTTCCCCGTCGTGCGCTGTCACTGGTCACCAGAGAGAGGAGATCAGCTCCTCCCCCTCCACAGCCCCCCTTGAGGAAGTTGTAGACTGCGATGAGGTCACCCCTCAGCCTTCTCTTCTCCAAGCTGAACAAACCAAGCGACCTCAGCTGCTCCTCCTAAGCCTTACCCTCAAGATCTTTCACTGTCTTGGTCACCCTCCTCCAGACACACTCCAATAGTTTGATGTCCTTCTTATATTGAGGCACCCAAAACTGCACACAGTACTCGAGGTGGGGCCGCACCAGTGCGGTGTAGAGTGGGACAATCGCCTCCCTCGACCAGCTAGCTCTGCTGTGCTTGATGAACCCCAGGACACGGTTGGCCCTTTTGGCTGCCAGGGCACACGGG